CTCAACTTAACTGTTGCTTTCACACCAGAATGTGACAAGATTGAAAACGATTTATAACAAGCGTCGTCTCAAAGACTCTAAGACGAAATTCAGGAGGAACGTATGGACGCCATTTACCGTTCGATACGTCGCAGAAAAGTTCTGTATCCATGCCCTGGAACTTTGAAAAAATGTTATTTCAATGATTTACTGCAAATGTCAAAACCAAGAATTTCCTTATCTGTTAATTGAGCTTTAGCGAACTGTTTATAATCGATTGGACATGGCTTATCACTCCACGATACCCTTGATAAACTATCAGCTACTACGTAAAGTAAACCTGATATGTATCACACATCCGTTGAAAACTGTACAATCCGACCAAGATGCTGAATTTAACTAGGAGAACATTACTCGTGCTTTTTTGAAGTTTATGATCGGTAATCATGGGAAATTAGCACCCTTTCAATAAGTAAGAAAGATGACGAATAAACGCGCAAATAGCTAATAATTCTCTATCATGCGCACTATAACGCTGCTCAGCTCTGGAACTAACGCGAAAAAAATGCCAAATATTTGAAGTTCTCGCCACTTGCTCTCACACCAAAAACGCACTTTTCCGCATTGACAACAAGTTAGCAAGTTCTGCAAAAGCTAGCGCATCCTCATTAGAAATTTCAAAAATACTCTTAACCATTTTAGATAAAATTTGTCTGTTATCCTTTCTTACCAACCATAATTTTTTTAAAACCTCAAATGAAATTTTATCCGATGCTATATTTTGCATTTCATAAGGAAATTTTTAGGGTTTTTCTTTTTGTCGCCTAACTCAATACCTGAAAACAATTTTTTTTAACGCAACGATCCAGAATCAGAATTTTGAGAAATTTCTCTAGATTTCATCTTATCATAAGCATCACAAACAGGTTTGTTGGGTACAATATCAAATGCGCAAGTTAAATCCTGAGGCTAAAATGACCCAAAACTAAAACGACGTAATAAAATGTGGTAGAATCAACAGAAATATTAGCTAACGTGAACTGGGATTCAAGTTGAGCAAACAATAGTTCTGGTCTATAATTCCGAAAAGATGGAGTCTTATTTGCATCAGCAGAATTTTCCCTTCTTAAACCATCATTTTAATAAGCACTGAATTTTCGTCATTCAATTTTACGTTTTCCTCTTCCATTATTCTAGCCCTTAACACAAAAATTAAGAAGGAAAACTTTTATAAATACAAAATAGATTGCGAAAATACGAATTACAACAATTAAAAAAGAAAAGTTCTATTCAAAATCTAGTTAATTTTGTAAGAAAAGTTATTAAGCTTCAATAATAGTGAAAATTAAATACACTATTTAAATTAGCTTATGTTTTTGTTAAGTGTTTCTGGTTTAAAATGAATAAAATTTCTCTTGATAAAACCATTTATTAATCAAACTTAACAAAATACACGACCAGGGTGTTTATTTATCAACAGCTATCGGATAACTGAAAGAAGAAGTAAGTAGCAAATTGACGTCAGTAATTTATACGAGAAAAGTCAGTACAACTTCTGTCAGCTTCATACAAAGACATGTACAACATAGCAACATTGCCACATCCTAAAATAATTATACCAGATTGCTTGATTTTCGTGATATTTACTAACTTTTTGAGACCTTCAAAAGCATATTTTGAGAGCATAAAATGACGATTTACCTAGAAGGACCATTGCGGTCAAAAAGACCAACATAGAGATTTGAATGTATTACTTGGATATGTCCCACTGCTTCCCTTCCATCCCTTATCTTTATTTTATTCAGGTACACGTCTGACTATATCGAAGCATAAAATTTTTTTTTGCAAAGAAAATATCCCTACTGCTCACTGTTCTTTTGTAATCCCTCATAATTGCTCACACATTCTTCGAATGTTTACAGGCAAATTATATCGAGATCTGATTTTGCAATCAGCTTTGAAATAACTAATGCCCCCCATTTTTCGTGAAAAATATATTTTTGTGAAAAATTCTAATTTTATTTTATAGCAGCTAAAACTAATTAAATTCAATAAACAGCGTTTACCGTTGAAATTTCGCCCGTACAAATTTATTCAGTATAAGATTAAGGAACAGGATTCGAAAACTATTATTAAATTTCAATGTAAACAAACTAATCTTGAATATTATAAGTAGTTGTGAAAATGTTAACATAATCTACCTTGAAAGCGTAAATGTTTTGAAAATTTCATCAAATAGCCGAGATTAGAAAAGAGATAAGCGACTTCTGAAATATTGCCAATTTTAGTTTTGCAACTTTAAATTTTGCTTATTTTCCCAATTTACCCGAATTTATTTTAAAGCGTGCAATTAGTATCTCTATTTTGACGTCTCTATTATTAAAAGTCTATTATTTTGAACTTTATCAACGATGCGAGATTGTCAGATTTTTCTACAAGGAAACTACTCGTTTGCCGCCTGACTTTTCTGAAATTGTAAGTAATAAACGTCATTAATGTTCTTTCGACCCACAACAAACAAGAAAAAAGCCCATTCGTGGAAAGTGTTAAGAAATTTTCGTTAGTAACTTAATTTCTAGTCACGTGCGAATGTTACCATTGGTATGCAACTGTTTTATGATATTATTATTCTTCTATTAATGTCGACAATTTCTTATATATTAAAAATAATACCATTAAAAATACTGCAGAATGTTTAGATTATTTTATATGACTTTTTATTAGGTTTTATCATGACATTTAAACTAAAAATCAAATATACAATGCTCAATTTCCTTATTGCGATCAAAATGACAGCAATGGTGGTATAAAAATATATCGATCGTTCCGGTATTGACTCATACTGTAAAACAATATTTTCTTTGTTAATTTTACTAATTTATTTGCTAAGAACTGCGATAAAAATTACCAAACTTCCCATAGATACAGAAAAAATTGTAAATTTTACCACCTTCTAGTAAAATTGACAATATACTTTTTTTTCGGTGCGAGAAAAGAAATATTTCGATAATAATGATTAAATAATTTAAATTACCAATTGTAAAGTGTACTAGGTAGAATAATTGCAAAATTAGACACTCATTTAAACGCTCGATTTACAGGAGTTAAATCATTCAATATTTATGAAGCATATTATTTTAAACATACATTGTGATTCGGTTTTGTTGCAAATAGATTTCGTATATTTCTTTTAATGAATAACACTTAGCTGGTTTTACATCTGAGTTGCTCGGGTACATTTAAACAGAAATAAATAAAATAAAATTTTCTTCAAATATAAAAACATTTTAGATACCGATTTCCAAAAATGCTAGTGTAAATCAAACAATTGAGCTACGCTTAATGTCTCCAACGATAATTTGCGTTATAACAAATTTAGACTTGCAAAAAATTCAATTAAAATATTCACTTGGGAAAAAGTTATTATTATTAGTTGTTATTTTTAGTTATTTTTAAAAGAAGTTATGCGATATAATAATGTATAACTGTGTTGTTTGAATTTTTGAAAGAAACGAAAAGTTGCTCTAGAGTACACCAGAATTTCTCAGAAAAAAAGGTTAAATAAAAATTTATTTAAATGTTTTTTTTTGTTTTTTACCTTATTCAAATAAAACAGTCAAATAATATTAAATAAGATGGTAATCAAACTGTTAGCCTTGCTAGAGTATTACTAGACTAAAAAAAATATATTTCAAAAGACGTACACTTTTCTTTAAAAGACGTTGACGTTTTACATATGACATAAATCAATAATTAATTGTAATAATTATTTAATTAGTAAAATTATTATCAAAAGGGCAGAAGGAAATGTTTAAATTAAATAATGTAGACTCATTATGGAATCTTTTAGTGGTTTCTAAGTTCTATTTGAAGCTACCGGAGTGTTATTGTAATACATTAAAAAGCAGTTTAAAGAGAAATTGCATGCAAGCTATAAAATAATAATTAATTAATTTTTTCATGCATTGTTTGATTAATGCACTTTAATATTAATACTGTTTTCTATAGATGAATTGTCTGATGCAAGCTGTTGTTCATTACTTTCGAGGTCGAACATTTTTCGAAACTCGCATTTTTGCTCTCATTCTAAAACTACTTGAAAACTAACTTTTGAAATATCCTGTTTTTTACGTTCTCATTCGAATTAAGTTTTTACTACTTTCAATGCTTGAAAAAAACTGAACCACGAGGGAAAAAAATTTCAATGCCCTCCTTAAAATTACATAAATTTAGTTAGTTGTCTATATTCCTTTTATCTTTTTTTTTCCTATTATTATATTTGTTATTTCTTAAGAAGTGTTTGAAAATAAATGAGAAATGAAACACGTTAAATTAAACGTTTAAGTTTTGGAAACTATCTTTCCTCTTTAAACGTTTCTTTTATCATTTCCTTACACTGCAAAAAATTTTGATGTATAGTTGCCACCATTTTCGGCGTTTAGGTAAACTAAAATTCTTAAGTGCAAATATCACATTTTTATCGCATGTAATTACATTTTTTATTTATATTTTTCCCTGATATAATTCATTTTTAAATTAATATTTTTTTTTTGTTTTCTTACTGACAACAAATGATTTAAGGCACATTAGACTTAATTTATGTCTTCATTGCAAAAATAGATTTTTTAAATAATGATCACATTTTTAGTAATGATAGTTTTCGTTTAAACAGTAATTATTTTGTCAATTTTATGTTCGATGTAATTTTTGCACGATAATTAAATTTTTGTACTTAAAAATGTATTTTATTATGCTAACAATACACCAATATTTTTTTAGTGGATCTTTTGCTACTGCTCCTTTTATTTGCTTTAAAAGTGATAATGGGTTTAATAATTTATTTAATCAACTCTATCCCTTAGAACTGTTTTTTTTTATTAAATTCAAAGAAAAAGCGACCCCAAATCAATTTTAAACCTGGACAAAAAAAAATGACTTTCAAACTTATTTCAACAATTGTAAGAAAAGTGATATAAAGAAGAAGGTGAAAACTCGTATATCATAAGAACAAAGTTACTTACATTGGACGCGGAGTATTTTTTCATCCTCTATTGTTGCTTTTGGTAAAGAAGGATTGGCGGATTTACAAATCAACCTTTTACCGTTGTCTGTAGGACTTGGGGTGAATATGAGGGTACTGAGAGTGACATTCCCATTCTCTCTTGTAACTTCGCTGGTGCCAATTCCAATTTTATGGCTTTCTAGCCACCAAGATGTAAGAGCTTTCTGTCTTGAGCCTCTCGTTTCGCATACAAATTCATGCTCTTCTCCTGCCATCAAAATAATACGGGAGCCAAGTATTTTAGATTCCAAGGGCATTACTGAAATAAAAAACGTATAAATTCAAGATGATATGTTCCAATTGAAATAAGAAAAAATGCAACAGAATCTATTCTTAACAAAAGATGAAAACCGCTGGTGAAAAATATTTGAATAATATAATTCATGAATCTCATTAAAAATATAAACAATAGCCTTTCTGACACTAATTGGCAAGTTTGAAATGTATTTAAAATAATTAGCTCAGAAATTAATTTAAAGAACACACAATTTCAATAAATTTAATTAAAACTTAACAGCGTTTAAATTGCTAAATTAGTTTTCAGAAACACGTGGGCATGTTTAGTAAAAATATTATTTAATTACGTAATAGCATTGTATGGAATATTTTAATAGTATCATATGGTTAATAGCATCATATGAAAAGTTCCAATGGAATAGTTTACACAATTTTATTAAGAATGTTAAATGAAACTGGAAATATTAATGATCTGTTACCTCTGTACACATAAGAAGGTATGCCTACATTGGGTACCTGGGCATATGGGCATTCTTGGAAATGAGATGGCTGACGAAGCAATGCGCAACTCGGATAGTCTGAGAAAAGCTAAAGAGCTAAATCGTGTCTGTCCTACAAAAAAGAGCCTCCCGTCAAAAAGCGCTTCTTAAGCTAAACAGGAACAGTTTGAGGAAGATCATTGGTCTTTTCACTGGATACTAAACCCTCAAGAGACACCTATGCATAATGGGTATTGAATCTGATTCTCTTTGTCGAGGTTGTCATCTTGAGGAGGAGACTTCACGACTTATACTTTGTGATTGCGAGGTCTTTTCTGCTCTAAGAATTGAGCATTTAGGGCAATATTACATTAAAGCTTGAGAACTGCAAGACACTCCAGTCAGATGTTTGCTAAACTTTATTTTAGCAATAAAGCTTTATTGTTATTCATGAATTTGGGTTTGGTTACATTAGATCTCTGATCAATGTGCCCTTCTCTTTGGAGCTGCCCTACCTCTAAATCAAGCCTAAGTCTGACTCAGAATTTAAGTAAAACGAAGGCATGAATCCAATTTGTTCAGTTGAAAAATAACAGTGTTTAAATTACTGTATTAGATTCAGAAACATGTGGGTATATTTTGTGAAAAAATATTTTAATTACGAAATAGCATTGTATGCAATCTTTTTATTGTATTATATGTTTAATAGCATCATATGGAAAGCTCAAATGGAATCGTTTAATTATTATTACTAAAGACTCAATGGAATAAAAATCTACATGCGGTGGAAACTAGAAGTGTAGCACATATTTTGTATCTTCCAACATTTTTACTTCGTTTAAAGATAAAGAAGAGAAAGTTTAGCTTTTTTATTGGATTTCGTTGATTTCTATAAAATTATTTAAGTAAATTAAAAGAAACAGAAAACCACTTTATTAAAAAAACGTATTTTAGCGTTTATACAACACACAAAAATTGCGTTTTATCTTTCCATATTTGTTATTCTTATGAGTTTCATCTTTAACTTTTATGAAAAAATATTCTCGAGTTGTCTAATTCCTCATTAAGTAAGTCTAAACTGTTTCCTTCAAAATTTCAGAAATTTTTTCTAGTTTCAACACTGAGAAAAAAAGTATTGTCAAAACTACCGGAAAATGATTAAATTTACCTTGTTGGTTGTATAGGAACACCAAAAAGCTTGGTAATTTAAACCAAAGTGTTTTGGCAATGAGTTTGGTAAAATTAACTATAAAATATGGATTTATTATCGGTGATAAACTTTAGTAAATGTGATAATTTTATCATGAATCAAAATTTCAAGGTTATGCGTTACCATATAAACGGAAAAATTACCAAACGATTGGTTTAAATACCATTTTTTTTCTTTCAGAAATGTCATTACCATACAGTACAGTAATGTTATTAGAAGTTTTATCTCAGTGAGGAATGAATTAACTCAAATATATTTAAGTTAACTTAGCATCCATATTTTATGGAAATAAACTTAATACGCTTTACACGGCTGAAAGAAACAATTATAAGCCTAAAAACCTAGGACAATTATCATGAAATACTTTGATATCTTGCTTAATTTTATCCTATTACTCCTTTTTATTCAAAAACAATAAAATTTTATCCTAATAAAAATAATAGCTAAGACAATATCATTGTTACATCATCCCCCATAGGCTGATATTCTAATATGAAGATATAAATAAATTCTACATAAGTATTATTCTGCAAAAATTTTATGTCAACGCACTTTGAAATTAACTGAATCACTATAAACACCTTTTATTTTTTAAGAAACACCAAGATAATATCCAGAATCATTGAAGTATCAGAAGCTAGTTTATTTGTCAAAAAAGGTAAAAATATTTTATTTATTGGATGTCTACGTAGGTGTATTATGAAATAGATCATTCATGTTACTTTCTAGTGCTTGATTTCGCTTGAATAGCTTATTTCCGTTTTAGCCAAATTTATTGCAGCAGACTATTTTATTCTTCACATCCCTCAGGACGTTCTTTATTTTCATTAATTCAGAAATAAAATATAAATTTTTTGTAGATTTCTATCTGCATTCGTAGATTTCTATCTGGATTTCTATCTGCGGAAGTAAAGAATACGTTTGGGAAGGGAGTTTAAAATATATGCACATTGCACGACCAAATTCTGTTATTGACAAAATGAAAAGAAATATGCATCTTTCTCTAAATAGAGAATGGCATTCGTAAGAGAGTTTATGGCTTGGTTAATTTTTCATGAATATAAAAAAAAACAATAACAAAATTAATTAATGAACCTTAGCATGTTTAAAAATTAAAATACATAAATGAAATTCATATGGAAAACTCAGTGTTAACTTAGAAGAAGAATAAGTACAATTTTGTAAGAAATTTATTTAAATAACACTTCCAATATTTCAGTTTTAAAAATAAAAAAAAACCAGAAAAAACTTAGACTTTGATTACTGTGAATTGATAAACAAAAATAATTACTTTAGAAAAATTTAAAAAGAATGAAATTATTGTTTTTTTCCGAAATAATGTTTGCTTCTGGTATTAAGTTGAATGGAATTGGACGTTTTTTTGTAATGTAGTATGTTTGCTTTACGATAATAAATGGATTACTACTAATCAAATTTTTATTGAAGAAAGAATTCACGAACAACAAGATAAGAGTCTGGCATAAATAATATATATTTCCACACAATTAATCATATATAATACATTGAACAACAGACGTCGTGACGTAAAACACGGAGAAAATTAATAGATTTATCTTTAAAAAAAAGAATGATGACTCCAAAAAGAAAATTATCTTTCCATATATATACCAAAATGCTTTATTTAATACAGAAAGTCTTGTTTTTATAAATTAGTACATACATACAAGGACTGTAAGCTTTTCTGTATTACTAAAAAGCTGCAAAATTACTTATTTAAAAGTTTGTAATTTTACCGTCATTTTCTTTCCTTTTTTGAAAATGGTAATTTATGACATCAAACCTTTTCCCATTTTTTTAATAAATCCCACCCACTTCTCTATTTCTTTTTTTTTTCAATAAATTTTTTAGATACATTTATTCCTGTACATGAAAAACATTAATTACGTTTTTTTTAATTATTTAACTTTAAAGTGTTTAAACGATAAAAGAATATTTTTTTCTGAATATTCCCTTTAAATTAGACATTGTAGGTCAAAATAGTAATAAAATACTGTAATTAAATCTGATTTTATAATCGTTCATTGCAAAGAAAGGTATTTTATGAATGATAAATGAATATTTTATATTATAATTGATAAAAAGAACTGATTACATAAAAAGGACAATTATGATGCTTGAAATAAATTAAGCATTTAAGCTTTTGAAGTAGGCATGCATAAAAATACAAGAGATATATTTCTTTCAGTACGAAACTTTTATGTGACACTAAATAAATGTGAAGCTCAAAACAATAATATTTTAAATGATAAAACAATTCTAATTTTTGAAGTGAAGCAAGCAATTTTCTCATTGCTTTTAAAAAGGCCATTCAATAGGCAAATAACTATGAAATAATATAATGAATTAATTATCAAAAAATAGAGCTTATAAACCGTGTGTAAAATAATTCATAAATTTTTATTAGTATAAATATTTATTTTAATAAATTAATTTTTATTAGAGCTTTTTTATTTGTCATTTATAGAATAAACTAGCTTTTTTAAATTAGCAAGCAAAGATTTAAGTACATTTACATTTTAAGTTTCGTAAAGGAAACATATTATTTTTTTAATTGATGCCAAAAATTTATTGTAAATTGAAATCTATAGAAATGCCTTCCATAATCATTGAATTTTGATTATCCAAAAATAATTTCCTTTAGAATGAAACAATGATTGGTACCTATTATTAATATAATTTCAAAGAAACAATTAAACAAACAAAGAACAAACAATAACAATATAAAGGATTTTCTCTGAAACTTTAAAGTCTTTGAATGCTTATCACAAATTTAATGTATATGTAAATATAATAGCTTTATTTGTTTGCGTTTTTACCCGAAGAAAATAATGAAAATTACTGTTTTCTTAAAAATTGCCTTGAATAAAAATATTTTTCTATTTGCACTAATCCTTTTAAGCATTAAGAAAACAATGTATTCTTGTTTTATAGATTGATGATTCGATCATGGTGATGGAATCTTTTATAAAGAACATTGATGGTTTGAAAAGTGATAACTTCAAGGTTTTTTTAATAAAAAAAACATCCTCTATTCTATTCAAATTGCTTTCTTATGTCTCAAAATTTATTCAATTATAAATATTTTTGTTCTGTCTTTTGCTCAAAACAATGGTGAAACTAATTATTTTGGTAAAAATTTCTTTATATTCTTTACAAACATGATTTCATTACTTATCTGATTATTTGTAGGGAAAATATATTTTTTTCCACTATTCAAAAACAAAAGATATATTAGATATTTATTTTAATTTTAAAACTTTGAGAAATCGTTAATTTACGTATGTTTTTCTATTTAAATTTAATGATTTACGA